TTTTCCTGCTCATAACCCTCTGTTCTAACACAGAAAACATGCAGTGACTGTACAGTTGTCCACGCAGGAGGCGTTCTAAAACTAAACATACAAATTATCCTTGAACGGCCTCAAAGTGACTTCAAAGTCTCTGCGAACAACGTCCACGTGATCTCATGTGAAAGACTGTTGTCCTCCAGGAGAGTTGGTTTTTAGTCCACTGAGTATTTACTCTGGGTTTTTTTTTTTATTTTGCCTCCTAACATTAAAAATAATCTGGAATTCCCGTCAGTTAGTGGCTCAAGGGTGATTTACTCTAAACCTTTTTAGTTTTAACCTAATGGGTTTAGTGTCAAAGGCAGATTACTGTGGTGCTGGGGATGTGCAAAGACCTGTAAGGGTGTGATCTAGATTATGACATCACATACTTTGGACTAACCTTTTTTCCACCAGTGATTCCAGTTAAAAGAGTGTTAAACCTTGTTCCATGTGAATGGTTTGATTTATTTTCTATTCTTGAGCTCCATTGATTTTCTGAAGTACTAACATGTGGCTGAGTTTGCTGGTTTATATCACAGTACTAGTATACAGTACTTTGTCAGGAGTGTTCGCCTTTGGCTTTTCACCTGAGCTTTTTCACTGTGTTATTAATAGAAGTTGGCAGCTGTTCTTATAGTAGCAGAAAGACATTGATTTACAAATTGAAATTGAATGAGATTTCAGGCCAAGTTTAGTGCCAACATTTAAACCATCCTTGAGAAAGTTGGTGAGTTGAATAAAAAAAAGAAACCCCTCATTAGGCCCACAATAGGAAAATTTACAGCGTGACCCTTTGAAACCCACACAGGCTACCACAAGAGGCGCCATTGAGTATGTAGTTTGTCTGGGGCTTGAACCCAGGACAACCTCCTGTACCAGGCTGGCCAATAGGAGTTTGTCTTGGGCGTGAACCTCAAATGTCCAGACTTCATCTATTCCTTCTACCCATATTAGTTCCAGTTGTAATTAGAGAGCTCCTAGTTTCTTTGTCTTTATATCATTAATTGCATTGCTCTAAATGAAACGTGTTTCATGTGTTGTATTCCAGTTTGTATTTGTTTTCCTTCTGCTCACAGCATTGTTTCTTCTTTGACAGGAGAGGTTTCAAGTTAAAAACCCGCCACACACGTATCTCCAAAAGCTGAGGAGTTATCTGGACCCTGCAGTCACACGAAAGGTGAGTGAGTGCCCTGGTCCAAATAACCTCATCCACAGCCCTGGTGGTTCCACAGCTGTAGGCGTGTCCTTCACCTTTGACCCTGAGTCTCGTCTTCAGGAACTTCAGCTACAAAGTCACGCACCTGTTAGCGTAGTGAGGGAAGAGACGGTTGTTAATGAGGAACAATCGATCTGAGAAACCACTGCACACAATCGTTAGACAACAAACACCGGTG